ACTAATTTACTGTAGTGCTAATGAGTGTGGACATTATTATTTATGAAGGTGAATCTTTAAGGGCATTCTGCCTCATTGTCTTTTTAAACATAACCAACCAGTGCCATTGTACATTTCCATGTTAGTATATCAGTACTACTAAATTATCCTAAAGGTGAAATTTCAGAACAGTAGTTTTAGAATGAAAATGTCTTTGTTTTTCAAATTTGTTCGAAATGCAAATTTTAGCATGAAAGTAACACAAGTCATAAACTCCAGTCCCAGTTATACTAAATCAGCTGATATTTGCCGCTTTGGTGTTAACATAGTACCTAACATTTTTTTTTTTTACAACATATTACTTAGTCTCCATTACCTGGAACAGAATTCTTCCTCTGTAAGCCATGTGTGTCGTAAGAGGCGACTAAAATGCTGAGAGCAAGGGGCAGGTAACCACTTCTCCTGTATGTATTACCAAATTTAATAGGAGAAACTTTTGTTTTTTTCTTTTGGGCCACCTCGCCTCGGTGGGATATGGCCGGTGCGTTGAAAGAAGATACAGGTCTCCCTCAACATTCACGTTTTCAGCTTTCGCGGGCTTCACACATTCGCGAATTCCCAACCGCCAAATTCCCAGCCACCAAATTCCCAGCCGCCAAATCATATTCAAGTTTCCCGCCACCTGCGAGTCCCTACTACCCTCCCTCCGACCCCCGCAACTGGCAGCCAGCCCTCCCACCACTCATTGTGGTGTTTTGTTTGTTCATTATTTGCTATTAAACTACAGTATAAATAATGTAAACACATTCATGACTGCATATTGGAATGGCTATTTGGACAGGTATTGGACGGTGACATCATGTGTTTACTCTTGAACACAGCAAAGAATCAAACATTTCTGCTACTGCTAATAATAACAATGGTAATAATAATAATAATAATAATAATAATAATACGATATAATTGAAGAAGGAAATTGTACAAAAATACGAGGGAGTGGTTGACACATCGTCAGTGTGGCTTTGTTTATGCTGGAGTGAACATTATTCTCCCTGCTCTTCCAAACATTTCACAATAATTCATTGTTTGGTGCTTGTAGATTGAGTGTGACTGGAGTGGTTGAGGCAGTGGTAGAGGTGATAGAGGCAGTGGTAGAGGCAGTGGTAGAGGCAGTGATAGAGGCAGTGATAGAGGCAGTGATAGAGGCAGTGGTAGAGGCAGTGATAGAGGCAGTGATAGAGGCAGTGGTAGAGGCAGTGATAGAGGCAGTGATAGAGGCAGTGGTAGAGGCAGCGATAGAGGCAGCGATATTTACTAACATATATGTTATAAATAATAATAGTACATTATGAATAACATTTATTATTATTATTATAAATGTTATTAATATTAACATGTACTATTATTATTTATAACATACGTATATGTTAGTAAATACCACTGCCTCACCCACTGCCTCTATCACTGCCTCTATCACTGCCTCTGTCACTGCCTCTATCACTGTCTCTATCACTGTCTCTATCACTGCCTCTACCACTGCCTCAACCGCTGAATTATTGTGAAATGTTTGGAAGAGCAGGGAGATTAATATTCACTCCAGCATAAACAAAGCCACACTGACGATGTGTCAACCACTCCCTCGTATTTTTGTATAATTTCCTTCTTCAATTATATTGTATTATTATTATTATTATTATTATTATTATTATTATTATTATTATTATTATTATTATTATTATTATTACTACTACTATTGTTATTATTAGCAGTAGCAGAAATGTTTGATTCTTTGCTGTGTTCAAGAGTAAACACATGATGCCACCGTCCAATACCTGTTCAAATAGCCATTCCAATATGCAGTCATGAATGTGTTTACATTATTTATACTGTAGTTTAATAGCAAATAATGAACAAACAAAACACTCACCACACTGAGTGGTGGGAGGGCTGGCTGCCAGTTGCGGGGGTCGGAGGGAGGGTAGTAGGGACTCGCATTGGTTGAGGAAGTGGTGGAGGCAGTGGTGGAGTCTGTGGTATTTAATAACATACATGTTATTAAAGCATAACATGTATATATTTAGTACAACTTACGACGTTTTCATGTATTTTATGATTGTTCATGGTTCAACAAGTTAAGCAGTATTGTATTATATTCCCTACAATATATTGGGGCACCAAACATTCACGGTTTTTCAACATTCGCGAGGCTCTTGATCCCCTAACCCTCGCGAATGTTGAGGGACACCTGTATAGTACTTGACTGGACTTGAGTTCTAGAGGTGGGAAGTACAATGCCTGCACCCTCATGGATAGATGAGAAGTACAGTTCCTGCACTCTCAAGGATAGATGGGAGGTACAGTGCCTGTACTCTCAAGGATAGATGGGAGGTACAGTGCCTGTACTCTCAAGGATAGATGGGACATACAGTGCCTGTACTCTCAAGGATAGATGGGATGTACAGTGCCTGCATTCTCAAGGATACATGGGAAGTACAGTGCCTGCACTCTCAAGGATTGCTGGTATGTACAGTGCCTGCACTCTCAAGGATTGCTGGTATGTACAGTGCCTGTACTCTCAAGGATAGATGGGATGTACAGTGCCTGTAGTCTCAAGGGTAGATGGGATGTACAGTGCCTCTAGTCTCAAGGGTAATGGGATATACAGTGCCTGCTCTCTCAAGGATAGATGGGATGTACAGTGCCTGCACTCTCAAGGATAGTTGAGAATGTTACAGTTCAGAGGATCATTTGAATTATGATGCCCTTACATTTCTGGCAAGACAGGTGTGGAATGAACGATGGTGAATGTGTTTCCTTGTCTTGGTCCCCCTACCTTGGTGGAAAACAGCCCATGTGGTAAAAAAAAAAGAAAATTATATTCTGTATTCTGGCATTATATTTATTAACTATTTAAGCTTGTTTTGGTGCACGAGCACTGGCTATTTACATTTCTTCTGTTGGCCACCTGTTTGTTTATGTGACTAATTAGCTAGTCAAAATGTCTTAAGCTATACATATTTTCTTCTAATTATGCAGTAATAGCTGAGATAGAAACATTATTCTATAACTCTTCTGAGTGTATATACAGTATAGATTATGCTTCACAATGTTGCTGTCACCTGATAAATTATAAAAATTTAGTTAAGGTAAAGAGATTGCTCAGGGTCCTGGCTATTTCACATTAAGTATGTAGGTGTTAGTGTACTTGCTGGTACTTCTTTTGCCACTACCACCACTGTTGTTAGTAGAGCACTTTTCTAACCCCACTACCACCACCACTGTTCTTAGTAGAGCACTGTGCTAACTCCACTACCACCACCATTGTTGTTAGTAGAGCACTGTGCTAACCCCACCACCACTGCTGTTGTTAGTAAAGCATTGTGCTAACCCCACCACTATCACCACTGATTAGGCAATATTTGATATGTGGAAAAGGTAGCTCACAAGGAGATTATTAGCTGTCAATAATTATCCCCTAATTCATAGGAAATGCTTATTTTCTGGGCATAAGTGAATAAATAATATGTATACATGTACATAACTGATTTAAGTAATATCAGTCTCTTAACAGAGTATATTTTTTCTGATGGAATTAAATTTTTCCACACTGAAGCAGTGAACATGGAAGGTGTGAGGGTGGTACTATACATTAGAAGAAACACAAACTACTAAATAGGAAAAAAAGATGAGAAGACCGACGGACCTGACATAGACTATGCCTGTTAGCTGATTCTTGAAGGAGTAAATAATAGTGAATAAATTCGTCTGCCCTGCTAAGGCACTCCAGCATTATTTACTTGAAGCTGAATCATCAGATTATGACCTGCAGGGAACAAGAGAAAGTCACACTATCATGGCTGGAGTAATTCACCAAAAACCTGATGACCAACTCTGCTGTAATTGTTTATTTATCACCAGTTCACTTGTGGATATTTGTCTTCACATTAAGTAGCAGAGCAGAACTACATTACTACAATGTTCAGGAATACTTCTCATGTCACTTTTTTCAACAGTAATGGAAGTAGCTGAATGAAAGCAAACCTAACTTGTTTCTCAGTTTTTTAAATATGGAAAGGAAATTTCATTCTGTTGTTACATCATGATGTAATACATTTTTCTTTTTGTTATTCTGTCTGTCTGACCATATTAACTTGTACAGAAGTGTCTCTTCAGTATGAGAGACACTTGGGGCAGGTGCAGTATACACTTCGCACAGTCAGTAAATCTCTAAATCAGTCTACTATACCCAGCAATAATGATAATATTTTTCTTAACATTGACCATTTCCCATGAAGGTGGAGTGGACCAAAGAAAACACATTCACCGTCACTAACAACAGCAACGGTAATTAATAATAATAATTCGGTATTGTAGTGCTTTAGCATTGCCTTGAAGGATTCCTTAACCAGATATTCCTCCAGTGAGTGTCTTAACGTGGGTTCCTGACAAGTAATGTTCTCACTGCTTAAACTTCCCATCAACAGTTCTCTAGTTGGTGTGATGGTTTATTATGGAAGTTTGTTAAGCTTATTTACTTATAGAGAATTTTCAAAATGTTCCTATTTGATAGCAGTTTAATAATTATTTGATAATTAACATGTACAACATTAATTGTAGGGCATTTAATTATATAACATTTAGAGAGAGTACAAAGTCTAGTTGTTGCCTTTATTCAGGTACAGACATGCAAAAAGCCTCATCATAGGCCTTCGGTTGAGTCCAACATTGACATTATTATAACTGAACCAGAGGACGACATGACTTTTCATGTTATCGCAGTGCCTTGTGTAACACGTCAGATGGGGTATTGTTCCCATCGAGGGAGAAGTGAACATTTATTGCATTATTAATTATTATTCTTGGTGTTTAATACCAAAACAGGTAGCACAACATTTAGGTGCACCCAGCTGTACCTGGGAAGAACATATATGCAAAGTAATATTGATACACATTACCTTCGTGATTAATTTTTATGTTAAGAATATGAAATTGTAATTAATTGTTAATTAATTCTCATACAGATATTACATATCCAAAGGAGCATTGGTGGATGCAGTTGGTGGTGAACTTATGTCTACACCTCTACACTGGGCTACCAGGTGAGCTAAGTGTCTACCCCTTTGTTGTCTTGCTCACTTGCCCTTTACAATACTTAGCAGTGTGGAAAAAGACACTTATGTACAGTTCAGGACATTTATTAGTGGGAATGTTTTGCCACTAGTGGCATCTTCAGTGATAGTGGCAAAGTCGCAAAATGTTTCCCCTAATTAACCCTTTGACTGTTTCGGTCGTATATATACGTCTTACGAGGTACCGTGTTTGATGTATGTACGTATACTCATAAATTCTAGCGGCTTCAATTCAAGCAGGAGAAAGCTGGTAGGCCCACATGTGAGAGAATGGGTCTGTGTGGTCAGTGTGCACCATATAAAAAATCCTGGAGGACGCAGTGCATAATGAGAAAAAAAAAACTCCGACCATTTTTTTTAATTAAAATGCCGGCTTTGTGGTCTATTTTCATATAGTATTTATGGTTGTATTCTCGTTTTCTTGGTCTCATTTGCTAGAATGGAAAACATATAGAAATAGAAGTGATTTTGATTGGTTTTACTATAAAAAGAACCTGGAAATGGAGCTCAAAATAGGGGAAATGTTTGATTTTTGCCGATGTTCAAAAGTAAACAAATGATGTCATTGTCTAATAAATGTCCAACTAGGCATTCTAATATGCAGTCATGAATAGGCTGACATTATTTGTACAATTATTACAGTATTGCAGTAGTCTGCATAGCAGTAAATCTTTTATTGTTTTGTTTGAATAAAAATTCAAAATAGAAAGCAAGAGTAATATCAGAGGGGCCTGAGACGTGACTGATGAACAACGAAAATGTTATTTTAGAGCCAGGAATGTCTGCATTGTTCATTCTGGACCTTATTTTGAAATTGTCATATTTTTTAATTTTCGTGAAATTGGCCAAATTGCAAATTTCTGACCACGTTATTGGGTAGCTGAAATCAGTAAATGGGCAGTTTCTTGTACTCAATTGATAGAAAAAATGGAGTTCTAAAGAAATAGCTATGAGTTTGGTCGACTGGAACAATGGAATTACCCAAAAATAGGGCTCAAAGTGGGTGAAATCGCCGATTTGTAAATATCGCCGAGGTCGCTAACTTTGCGAGAGAGTAATTCCGTCAGTTTTCCATCAAATTTCGTTTTTTTTTTTTGTGTCATTACAATTGGGAAAAGATTCTCTATCATTTCATAAGAAAAAATAATTTTTTTTCTTTTTTTTTTATTGAAATTTTGCGACACCAGGAGACACCTCAGGATTGGGGGTTGCGACAGTCAAGGGGCTAAAGTTCTGAACTGTACTTAAGTGTCTTTTTCCACATCTTGTCAGTATCATCATACCATTTTTCAATACTTATTGTGTTCATATATGAGTCTTCCGAGTGAAAGGTTAGTTGCCTTGATTCTTTCTTAGATCAAATTTGTTTATCTCCCATGTCTCAGCCACTATATGACTTCTACATATTTACTGCTACCTTCTTGATTATAATAATAATAATAATAATGATATATAGGTAGTAGGCTGGTAGACAGCAACCACCCAGGGAGGTACTATCGTCCTGTGGTAGTAGGTTGGTAGACAGCAGGTTGGTAGTAGGTTGGTAGACAGCAGGTTGGTAGTAGGTTGGTAGACAGCAGGTTGGTAGTAGGTTGGTAGACAGCAGGTTGGTAGGATTGCTGGTGTCCCTTTTTCTGTCTCATAAACATGCAAGATTTCAGGTACATCTTGCTACTTCTGCTTACATTTAGGTCACAATACACATACATGTACAGGCATATATATACATACCCCTCTGGGTTTTCTTCTATTTTCTTTCTAGTTCTTGTTCTTGTTTATTTCCTCTTATCTCCATGGGGAAGTGGAACAGAATTCTTCCTCCGTAAGCCATGTGTGTTGTAAGAGGCGACTAAAATGCCAGAAGCAAGGGGCTAGTAACCCCTTCTCCTGTATATATTTTTAAATTTAAAAGGAGAAACTTTTGTTTTTCTTTTTGGGCCACCCCACCTCAGTCGGATACGGCTGGTGCGTTGAAAGAAAGAAAGAAAAACATGGAAGATTTGAGGTACGTCTTGCTACTTCTGCTGACACTTAGGTTACACTACACATGCATGTACAAGCATATACAGTGGACCCCCGAGTTTCGTGATTAATCCGTTCCAGAGAGCCCGCCGAAGGTCAAAATTCACGAAACTCGAAACCATTTTCCCCATAAGAAATAATGGAAATAAAATTAATCCGTTCCAAACACCCAAAAATATTAAAATAAAATATTTTTTTTTCAAATTAAATAAAGATTTACATAATGAAAACAATCAGAAATCAAGTACATGCATTTAAAAAAATAATAATAACATTACACTTACCTTTACTGAAGACTTCTAGGTGGATGGAAGACGGAGGAGGGATGGAGGAAGGGTACACATGTTTGAAGGAGAATCTCCTTCCATTAGGACTTTAGGTAGCAAGTCCTTATCTGGGGTTATTCCCTTCTTCTTTTAATGCCACTGGGAACAACTTGAGAGTCACTGGACCCCTGTTGCACAAAATATCTGTCCAGAGAGGTCTTCTTCTGGCATTTCTTTAAGATTTACCTGAAGTGGGACACAACACTGTCATTGTACATGTTGCAGATATGGCTTGTTTCAGCTTGGTCAGGGTGATACTTTTCAACAAAACTTTGCAACTCATTCCACATTGCACAAATCTCCTTAATCTTTGAAGAAGGCACCTCATCCACTCCCTCTTCCTCCTTCTCTGAAGCAAGTTCCTCGGCTGTGGTCTGATGCTGTTCCAGTTGAAGCTCTTGCAGGTCGCCAGTGGTTAGCTCTTCCCTGTAGTCCTCCACCCACTCTTCCACATCCCCGTCAAAATCCCCCTGGATCGTGTTCCTCACTTTATTTACCAAAGGGCTTGCACTAGCTTTCCTTGGGTCCATGATGACTTATTTAGCAGTTGCAAGCACAAAAAACAATGGATTATTATGAAATGTATTGTATGAACCCGCGGGGTGATGGTCACGTGTTGGTAAACAATGGCACACTGAGCGTGAATGGCGTGGGAGACTGGCTTGGTATGCGTGGTGACGGGCGGACGGATACCGGATGGTCGCCAAAACACGAGTCTTTTCACGAAACTTGAGGCCAAACTTTTCCAAAAAAACTCGCTGAAGGTCAAATTGCACGAAAGTCGAGGCTGCCGAAACTCGGGGGTCCACTGTACATATATATACACACCCCTCTGGGTTTTCTTCAATTTTCTTACTTGTTCTTGTTTATTTCCTCTTATCCACATGGGAAAGTGGAACAGAATTCTTCCTCTGTAAGCCACATGTGTCGTAAGAGGCAACTAAAATGCCAGGAGCAAGGGGCTAGTAACCCCTTCTCCTGTATACATCACTAAATTTATAGAGAAACTTTCGTTTTTATTTTTGGGCCACCCTGCTTTGGTGGGATACTGCCAGTGCATTGAAAGAAAGAAAGAAAGAAATAGTGATCATAAATGAGAATGCTTGCATTACTTGAATGCTAAGATAAGATGGTAGTGGATGTTAGCACAGTGGACCCCCGGTTAACGATATTTTTTCACTCCAGAAGTATGTTCAGGTGCCAGTACTGACCGAATTTGTTCCCATAAGAAATATTGTGAAGTAGATTAGTCCATTTCAGACCCCCAAACATACACGTACAAACGCACTTACATAATTGGTCGCATTCGGAGGTAATCGTTATGCGGGGGTCCACTGTATATGGAAAGATATTTTATTGTTTTTAGCATAAGAGGTAATTAGAATCTAAATTTGGCCACTGCTATATAGCTGAGCATTAGAAAACTTGTTTGAAGCTAGCCAAAAGTTCAAAGGCAGTAAAACACTATTTAAAATACACTGTTTCAAATTTTTCACTATTTTGTTACTGTTCAGTATGTACATACATGTATATTTTAGTCATTTGTTTGATTTTTTTTTTTATGTTAACTCTTAACTCTTTATCATTAGTTTTTCTACAATTTTTAATTTATCATGTTTTTTCTTAACTGTGTGATTTTCTGTTTCTTCCAAAACTTTTATCATAGTCTTTTGGTTTGCTAAACATATGAATTTGTCCTCACTGTCTTGCTCTTTACTCTTCTATAATTTGTTTACTAATGTCTGTGTATTAACAATATTTCTTTGGTTGTGTTAGTATGATTTTTTATTTTTTCAAAATTATATTTTAGGTACAGTGTTTGCATATCTAATTTGTTCCTTAAAGACACAAAAACAATGTTAAGTTTTGGTACTGTAATACAAAATTATTTTTTTTTAACACTTCGGCCGTTTCCCACTGAGGTAGGGTGATCCAAAAAAGAAAGAAAAAACTTTCATTGTCATTCAACAGTTTCACCATCTTTGCAGAGGTGCTCAGATACAACAGATATAGTGATAGTAATTAAAAATCATCTTTGTCAAAATAAGTTTGCCAGTGGTCAGATGATTAGAGTTCTTAACTTAGTATGTAGTATTTAAAGTTGCTTATCTGGATTTCAAATAACTCTGCCTACAGTATTCATTTTTAATGCTCAATGCTGCTTTCAGACAAGGTCATCTTGGCATGGTTGTTTTGTTGATGAAGCATGATGCTGACTCCTCACTCCGTGATGGCGAAGGGTGCTCCTGCATACATCTGGCAGCACAGTTTGGTCACACTGCCATAGTTGCATATTTGGTTGCCAGAGGAGCAAATGTTAACCTCATGGACAAAAATGGAATGACACCGCTAATGTGGAGTGCCTACAGGGTTACCAGGTGTGTTTTTTCATGCTGCTTGTGTTATTATTATTATTCTCCATCTTTATGTAAATAACTGACCTCAGCAGCTGCTATTATCATTATTTGTTATTAATTACTATCCATCTCCCATCAAGGCAGGGTGATCCAAAAAAAAAAAAAAAAACACTTTCATCATCATTCACACTCGCTGTCTTTGCAGAGGTGTGTAGACAAGATAGTTTAGATGTTGCTCCAAACAGCTAATATCCCAAACCCCTCCTTTAAAGTGCAGTCATTGTGCTTCCCACCTCCAGGATTCAAGTCCAACTGACAGGTTTTCCTGAATCCCTTCACAAAATATTACCCTGCTCACACTCCACCAGCTCATCAAGTCCCAAAAACAATTAGTTTGAAAATTCTTGGACATTGTGGACAAGTTTCAGATCAGGGATTTGGACAGTGAAAGTGTTAACTACAGTGTGTGGGACAGAGTTCATCTGGTTAGAGTCCTTGGGGGATATTTTTTTTTTGGGGGGGGGGGGGGGAGAAGGCTGTAGCTGGGTGAATTTGGGAGAACTGTAGAGTAGTGTGATTAAATATGTTAATATTTAAATACTATACATCCTCGAAAGGGTTGGAGAGAGGGGGTAAAGGAGGTTTTGTGGGCAAGGAGCTTGGACTTCCAGCAAGCGTGCGTGAGCGTGTTAGATAGGAGTGAATGGAGACAAATGGTACTTGGGACCTGACGATCTGTTGGAGTGTGAGCAGGGTAATATTTAGTGAAGGGATTCAGGGAAACCGGTTATTTTCATATAGCCGGACTTGAGTCCTGGAAATGGGAAGTACAATGCCTGCACTTTAAAGGAGGGGTTTGGGATATTGGCAGTTTGGAGGGATATGTTGTGTATCTTTATATGTGTATGCTTCTAGACTGTTGTATTCTGAGCACCTCTGCAAAAACAGTGATAATGTGCGAGTGTGGTGAAAGTGTTGAATGATGATGAAAGTATTTTCTTTTTGGGGATTTTCTTTCTTTTTTGGGTCACCCTGCCTCGGTGGGAGACGGCCGACTTGTTGGAAAAAAAAAAAAAAAAAAAAAAACATCATTTGATTTTTTTAGAGTGAAAAATCTTGACTTTTTTTATTTCTTCAGAACAGCAAGTGAAGTACAGAATTTTAACTTCTATTTCATTACTGCATTGTATATATTTGGATGATAAGAACTGTATAAGAACACGTGGTATCAGTTTCCCTGTCTTCATCAGACATAATTTAACCGCATTGTTGAATAGATAATTTTTAATTTCACATTGACAGAGGAATCAGTAATCAATTTAAACATATAAAATGTCATCACCACCATCTGATATAACCAGAATTGTAATAAATATTTTTATTCTTTTATAAAATGTTACTTAAATATCACTGGGGTTAATATTTCTTGAAAAATTAACTTATTTGTTATTTTGCATGTGTCTTTTTTTATTAACACATCAGCTGTTTCCCATCAAGGTAGGATGACCCAAAAAAGAAAACACACTTCATTGCCACTTACACCATCACTGTCTTGCCATAGGCATGCCAACACTACAGTTCAAAAACTGCAACATGATTTATTCCATGTAAACATGGAATCCTTTTTAATCTTAATTTGACAGTTCTTAAAAAATTAGATTGCATTTTAAAAGTACTGTACCTTTGTCTACAGCCTGGATCCCACAAGGTTGCTATTAACATTTGGAGCCAGCACATCAATGGCTGATCGTCTTCATGGTAACACTGCGCTGCACTGGGCTGTTATAGCGAAAAACCACATGGCTGTCAGTGTTTTAGTAAACCATGGAGCCAATGTGGACATTGCAAATTCTCAGGTAGGTTATTGGTACTATCTTATTTGTGAAAATGCAAATGAAAACTAATTTTATTTCTTAAGAAAAGTTACATGGTTACAGAAAAGTGGTATGGAATGTAAGCTGATTGGAAAATCATTGAGTATGCACGGCATGTTAGGCATTCTAACATTATTCCTTGGAGAATACTCACACCTTGCTACGTAAGGCAAAGTACAGTGGACCCCCGCTTAACGATCACCTCCCAATGCGACCAATTATGTAAGTGTATTTATGTAAGTGCGTTTGTATGTGTATGTTTGGGGGTCTGAAATGGACTAATCTACTTCACAATATTCCTTATGGGAACAAATTCAGTCAGTACTGGCACCTGAACATACTTCCGGAATGAAAAAATATCGTTAAGCGGGGTTCCACTGTATTGTGTATTTGGTTGTCTAAGGAATAAAGCAAGATGTCCTGTAGCTCAATTGCTGGCACACTCAGGTCCAGGAGTTGATCCTCAGTACAGATGGAAACATTAGGAAGTCTTTCTTTAAGGCACCTGCTGTCCCTGTTCACCTAGCAGTAAAATAAGTACCTGGGTGTTAGTTGGCTGGTGTAGGTCACAAAATTTACCTAATTTGCCTGAAATGCTTTACATAACAAAGGGCTTTCTATATGGTAGTATGCCATTGATGTCAGCTATGGTCTGTATACCTTGCACATGCACTTATAGAAATAAAGAGTATTATATTATTATGATGTATGGGCAGGTCCCCTGCCAGCTTCTGCAACTGTTGATGTATAATCAGCATTGTGGTAATATTTTAAGAAAGTAGGTAGAGTAATACACAACTGTATTAATATGTTGTGGGTATACAGTTTCACTAAAGTGCCTCTGTATTGACTAAACTGTTTTTTGGGGATTATTTTTGTCTTAGACTTTTACTTATTTACATAAGTTTTTCAGGTCAGTAGTAATTTAGTAAGTATTTGCTCAGTTGTGATTATAATAATTTTCTGTAACACGCTGGCCATCTCCCACCGAGGCTAGGTGACCTGAAAAAGATGCACTTTCACCATCATTCACACTATCACTGTTTTGCCAGAGGCATGCCGATACAATAATTTAGATGGCCCTCTAAACAGCAAATATCCCAAATCCCAAACTACTGTATTAATTTCAGGGAGAGTCTGCTTATAGCTTAATAATGAAGAGAAAGACTCAGTGGCTGGACAAAAAAGTTTTGGAAAAGCTTCAAGAACTACAAAAATCAGCAAGAAATATATGTTATCGTATATCCAATGATAAGGTATGTTAATTCTTACCATAAGTAATAGTTATTGTTTAATAAAATTTATTTTAAGGTGTATTCTTTATTGACAGAATATGTATATGCAAAAACTTTTATTTATTTAATAATCTTTTTTCTTCACAATTGATTTTTAACACATCGGTCATTTCCCACCAAGGCAGAGTCGTGAGTGTTATTCACTGATTTAGTATTTGTTGTGCCTCCTGGAATGTAACCTTCCCTCCCCAGATATAAATATTTTTCTCTACTGTACAAGTTGTAATACTGTACAGGTGCACTACAGTACTCTCTTACGACTCACGAGTTTTACCCCATGACTTCGACTATCTGTAAACTGTCTTGGATAATTTATTTCTTTATATCCACAGCTGGATTCATAGAAGCACAAGTCTCAGACAGTATTATGGCATTCTTATCAAGGCAGGCTCTTGGAACAAAGTAGTTACGTTAGTTATTATGTCATATGATATTGGCTCCCAATGCATTAGTTCTTTTCAGATGTGTGACCTGCTGACATTTTACATGTCTATTAATGATCAATTTATATTGCAGTCAACCCAAAATTTGGCACATTGTTAGACTGATAAGGCTGGGTGTAGGGGTGATGGAGGCTCAGACCGCATTCTTATATTTTCCATTCAAATGCCAGTTCTGTACTCGGATTTTCAATCCACAACAATCTCGTGGAATGTATCCCTCGCGAATCGTGAGAGTACGATACTTCACTTTTTTTTTTTTTAAATATAAATTTTAGGTAAAACAAGGGACATCATGAGGTGTCTACTAGTTGATGCATTGCATAGTCATCAACTTTAAAAGTTCTAAAACTACTGTTTACTAACACCTACTTGGTAGAAGCCTTACTAAGCTCCTCCATCCCAGTAATTGCTGTGACCCTGAGGACTCACAGCAGTCACTCTGACCTTGCTTTATAACATTAGAACAGGCAGAACTGTGTGTGCCATCACTGTTGGCCCAGAGCCTTAAGTCATGCCATGATAACAGACTAAGTGTCAAACTCACACATGTCATTAGGTAGCCACTTTAACCTTTAAAAGTGCCAAAGGGTTTGAAAAAAAATAGGCAGTTATTTATGTTATCAAAAAATTCTCCCCCATTTTTTTAGACGTGTTAAGTGACGGGAATGAGTAAAGTCATATTAGTTCTTATGAAGATATGAAGGTTTGAAGGTGACTCATTCCTATGTTTTCTTATTGCCGTATACTTCTATTTATTATTCAGTAATAATAATGAAATGGCATTTTCAGGCCCCCAGAATACTCTGCACACAAAACTATTTTTTTTATATTATACACACGTATGGCCCAGACCTATTTTTTCTGATGTAAGCCTAACCTGGCTGATTAAAACATAAACTTGTGCCTTTGGTGTAAGTTTGCATCAAAAGCACTTTCTTGGTGTAGATTTAACATCATCGGCAGCTTAAGGGTTAAAATATTTCCATGGCTTACAGAGGCTTGTAGGCTAGTAATGATAGGTTACCACACATGTACATATGTCTATACCTAACAGAATGCCTAAGAGTCATAATGTAGTGGTAAGTTAAACTTCACACAGCACTAAAATGTAGTTGATAAGGTCACTGAGTTAATCAGTAAGACAAGTGTGCAACAGTTAGGTATCTTTGCTCCGAAACATTTCGCCTACACAGTAGGCTTCTTTAGTTGAGTACCAAAGAAGCCTACTGTGTAGGTGTTTTGGAATAAAGACACCTAACTGTTGCACATGTGTCTTACTTATCAACTTTTCAGTATTGTATACCATTATTGTATTCACAAGGTCACTAAGGTAAGTGATTAGTCTTGAGACCTTTACTGCTTCACAGATGCAGTTTTATTTCTGTTAAAGCACTTTTGTAAAGAGTATGACTGTAAGGTTTGCCAATGTGGACTAGTAGGCTCGCTAACCTGCACTCCTAACAGTGCAGAAAAACATCGGAGAGTAGATGTAGTAGTCTTGAGTTTCCTCTCTCTTCCTCCTCTTCCTTAGTTAGGAACCTTTGGGTGGTGGGTAATTTGGCTTGGTTACATGTCAAGTAGAGTGCAGAAGTTCATTGTGAAACATGGAAAGTAAGATTGCTTTCACTTTGTAAATTTGGCAGGGAGTATGTAGTTTGGTGGGCCATTGGATTATTTTTGTACTTTTCTACAAATATTTCTAGGGAGCAAATAATGGTGAATGTTATTTCTTCTTTGGGTGACCCTGTCATGGTGGAAAATTAAGCGTATTAGATAACTGAGAAATTTTGCCAAATGATAAAACAATAACCCATGATGTTCACCATATACCATGATTATAATGTGGTAAACACAGTAATGTGACACATAAGATGCTAGATACTCTTGTCTCCTTGTTATGTAATTGATTCCACACCACAGTGATGTGTGTGTACTTAGTTTGTGATGTTTTAGGTCAGGGTGATCTTTCTACAAGCTGGTGGGGTGGGCTATATGTAGTCTGTGGGTTGATTTTTTTTGTCTCTTACTTACCTGCAACCTTTTTTGGGAGTTTTGTCCTCCTTCCAAGGCCTGGCTTAGGGCCATTTCTCCCTGTTGATTGCCTGTTTAACTTAACTGTTGCTATTGGAGGCCTGTTAGCCCATTACAGCCTGGTTAATCTGGCACACTAAGGAGGTATAGATGCAGTTTTCTCTTGAATACTTCTGTACTTGTTCCTGTGAAGTGTTTCTAATGTCTCCTGATGGCAAGTTGACAACACTAGGCCCACTTATGTTTATGCAGTGGTCTTGTATTGTGCCCATGGCTCCCTTGCTTTTTTTTTTTTTTTCTTCAACAAGTCGGCCGTTTCCCACCGAGGCAGGGTGACCCAAAAAAAAAGAAAGAAAATCCCCAAAAAGAAAATACTTTCATCATCATTCAACACTTTCACTTTTTATTGAGTTTATTTGACACTACCTTCCATATCTCTCACTCTAGTACATTGTTAGGATATTGTGTAGATTTGGGACTAGGGCCTCCAGTGTCTTTCATGAACACGGTTAAATATAGTAGTTGTAAATTTCTTCATTACTACAGTATACAGCAGAGGCTTAAAGCTATCTTATATCCATAGAGAGGGTTTTAGTGCTAATGCTTCCATACTTCACAATATAAGAATTGTTATTTTGCAATTACCTTCATACAGGCTAGTACTGCTAGTCATACATGGTCTTATACTGTATTTTTACAAAATATAATTATTGTATGTGGCCCAAGAGGTATACCTGGAAGGTGTTCTGGGGGTCAAGGCTCTGCTGTCCGGTCCATGACTATAGAGCTTATGTGTGTGTCGCTCAAGATGTTGAAGCTATAGGGCCACTCAGAGTAAAGTGATGGATGATAGAAGTATTTAACCCTTTCAGGGTTTTTGACGTACTAGTACGGCTTACGCACCAGGGTTATTGACGTACTAGAACGCCTAAATTCTAGCGCCTTCAAATCTAGCGAGAGAAAGCTGGTAGGCCTATATATGAAAGAATGGGTCTGTGTGGTCAGCGTGCGCAGTATAAAAAAAAAATCCTGCAGCACACAGTGCATAATGAAAAAAAAAAAAATTTTGACCATTTTTTTGGATTAAAACAGCGACTTTGCACAGTATTTTCGTATGGTATTTATTGTTGTATTCTAGTTTTCCTGATCTCATTTTATAGAATGGAAGACATATTACAGAAATTAAGATAATTTTGATTGGTTTCACAATGAAAAGTACCTTGAAATTGAGCTCAAGTAGCAGAAATGTTCAATTTTTACCAAAGTTTAAAAGTAAACAAATCATGCCAAGTGTCCAATACACGTCAACTGGCGAGTCTAATATTCTTTCACAAGTGCGCTGATATTATTTATACCATTTCTACACTAATGCAGGAGTCTGCATAACAGTAAATCTTCTATTTTTGTGAGAATAAAAGTTCAAAGTGGAAAGCAAAAAAATATAAGAGGGGCCTAGGGACATGACTAACGAACAGAGAACTTGTTATTTTAGTGCCAGGAATGTCTGTCTGGTTTATTCTGGACCCTATTTGGAAATTGGCATCTTCTGAAATTTGTGTGAAATTGGCAAAATTGTCAATTTCTAACCACTTTATTGAATAGTTGAAATTGGTAAATGGGTGGTTTTCTGTACTCATTCGATAGAAAAAATGGAGTTCTAGTGAAATAAATGTGATTTTTGTCGACTAGTACACAGGAATTGGCCGAAAATAGGGCTCAAAGTGGGTGAAATTGCCGATGCGTAAACATCGGTGAGACCGCTAACTTCGCGAGAGCATAATTCCATAAATTTTCCATCAAATTTCATACTTTTGGTGTAATTATGATCGGGAAGAGATTCTCTATCATTTCATAAGAATTTTTTTTTTTTTTTTTTTTCCGAAAAATTTTCGACCCTGAGAACAAATTTAGGAGAGGGCCTCTTGACCCTGAAAGAGTTAAACTTGGTAATAGTCAATTCTAGATGACAGATTTTACTGTGTTTATGACTTGTAATAGTAACTTTTTCCCATTCTTTTATTCCATTCTGCAAAGGTTCAGAGTATGTTTTAAAAATTTTTTTATATAAATTTGTTTAGTAATTTATTATGATGTACTTTATTTTACCTTTTCAAAAGTGCCAATAACAGAAAATATTTTAAATGTTTTGTATGTTGTTATTTATCATTCAATAATTTTACAGAGTCTTCGATACTGGACTATGATGGGAACTCCATTCCTGGTTTTTTATGTGATTGGCCTCATCTGAAATTAAATCTTTATTACGTGCTGAAGCTGGACTTTTCACAGCGTTATATATTGTAGTCTATGGAATCTCCAGAGTGCTGTTTGATGAGCGACTCATGACTGTTATGCCAATGGCAGTTTATCTAGCCACAAAGGTATGTTTAATACAATTTATCTGGCCACAGAAGTATTTTTTAATATAGTTTATCTAACTACAAAGATATGTTTAATATAAAGTAGTCCCCCCGTATCCGCAGGGATATGTTCCAAGACATACCGTGGATACCCGAAACCATGGATAGTAGCGAACCCTATATATGTCATTTTCGTTTATGTATATTCCTGTGATAGAGTTGAATTGATAAATTATGCACAATAAGTGAAGAATTAACAGTTTTTTACTGATGGGAAGCACCTCACAGCTTCTCTTAGGATTTTTAAGAACTGCCAGTATCACTACTTTTGCACTTTGGGGCCATTATTAAGCAAAATTAAGGGTTATTTTTGGGCCATGGTAAACCATGGATAACTGATATCATGGAAGCCGAATCTGTAGATATGGGTATTCTACTGTAGTTCTTTTAGTATTTGATGTTGCTTTTAGTATTACGTTATTGTTAATACAACTTTTTAAATTATACAAGAACAAAGAGATATATTACAAATTTTTTTCTAAGCAGATAATCCTAGATAAACACTGTATATCTAGAGATTGAAGGAAATACACAGTAGAGAACAGGCTCCCATATAGTCATACTGTTACTAGTCAATGGTCTAGTCATGCTATGACTGGTCAGTGGTCCAAGTTGGACCATTGACTAGTCACACTGTGACTAGTCAGTGGTCCAACTTAGACCAAAACATCATCATAAGGTTCTTTCTAGTGTGTGTGAGTTATTTGTATACTACTGTGATGGCTATAATACATTTGATAGCCTTGTTTCTGGTCGTGTCTGTAGGTGTCCCCCTCTGGTGTGACAACTGAACTCTTTTTTTTTTTTTTTTTTTTTTTTTTATTTTTTTTTAAGCAAAATCCTTCCCACCAACAGTGTCTCTCTTCGAAGTCATTGGCAGTGGAGATATAAATAAGGATCTAAGGATAGCTCTTCAAGAAAGAACTTGAAATAATGGATTTAAATTAGAAAGGATATAGGAAAGTATTGGTTTGGAAATAGAGAAGTCGATGAGTGGGACAGTATGCCTAGTAGGGTCATTGAAGTTATAACCTTGGCTGGCTTCATATATTGGTTAGATAAATACTTGAATCTTACTAAATTTAAAAACAAAAACTTTCGTTTTTCAAGTTGCCATGTCTCGGTGGGATACGGCTGGTTCATTGAAAAAAAAAATACTTGAGTGAGAGGAGCTTGGATTTGAGTGGGACTTTCACATAAGTTAACAGGGTTATCAAAGCTTATTTCTTGAATAGCGCTGAAAAAGGGCTGGGTAAATATTTTTGTTACTTTGGTGTTTGAGGTGAACCTGTCTGGCATGGACTAGTAGACCTGCTGCAGTGTTTCTCCTTTCTTATGCTCTTATGATTGTCACTCTTAACATTGTAATTGTTGTTACTCTAAACTTAGGACATAAGTGATTTCCACACGAAACATTATTGTGTGTGCAATATAAAAGTGCCCCAAGTGACCCACTGTATGTCGTATTTCAGTTTTGGTGTTATGTTACTTGGGTTTTGTACATTCATGAGTACTCTGGACTTAAAGCAACAGCATTCTTCTTTATATCTTCACTGCTTCTATGGTACAACTTCATGAGAGCCTGGAGAGGAGATCCAGGGGTCATCACAGCAGACCAGGCCCAAAAATATCAGGTAGGTCTTCATGGAATTGTGAAAGTTTACTTTGGTGTGAAATTTGTGATCAGGCAGAAAGGAAAGAGCATTAATGAAAGATATGAGAGAAAAGGTATGATTTATTAGGAGAAGAATGGGAAATGTGTGCTAAATGAGGGAGGGAGATGGTGAACAGGAAAGGAAAGTAGTAAATTAGGGAGGAATGCAGTGAATGAGGAAGAGACAGCAAATGAGGGAGGCAGACAGTGAATGATGGAGGGAGTCAGTGAATTATGATAACAGTGAATGAAGGATGGAGGTGATGAATGAGGGAGGTATACAGTGAATGATGGAAGGGGGCAATGAATGAGTACCTTGAGGCCTTTCACTCTGGGCAACAGATGGCAGTACCTGATAAACTGCAGTTGTATCTCTTAGTCTATGAGGCAGCTTAGCAAAGTACTGGATGTTCAAAATGGTTTTTTGACAGTCAAAATGAAATTTGACTTCTGCAATCAGACACACACTTGCAGACATGCACTCACATGCACACACACAAAAAAACACCCACCTATTGATTCTTTATTGCAACCTACATGTTGAAAGTATTAAAATGTTTTTAAATGTGCCAACTTAGAAAATTTTGTCTTGTTTCTGCAGTGATGCCTTTCTTTCCCTTTCCTGAACAAGATTATACGAGTTTAAACATTAATATTCAATATGGTTCTATTTCAGACCATAATTGAGTTAGCAGAAAGAGATGGATTTGATCCTCAGTGGTTTTGTTCTACATGCTTGGTGCGACGTCCAATACGCTCCAAGCACTGTTCCGTCTGCAACAGATGTATTGCTAAATTTGACCATCATTGTCCTTGGGTTGGAAACTGTATAGGTAAGAATATTACATTGTGCTTAAAATTGTTAATGTATTCTGTTCAGTGGAGGTTTTAACCAATTGAAACGAAAGACTTGTATGTCCTAGGTAGTAGGTTGGTAGACAGCAACCGCTCAGGGAGGTACTACTGTCCTGCCAAATGAGTGTAAAACGAAAGCCTGTAATTGTTTTACATGATGGTAGGATTGCTGGTGACCTTTTTCTGTCTCATAAACATGCAAGATTTCAGGTACGTCTTGCTACTTCTACTGACACTTAGGTCACACTACACATACATGTACAAGCATATACATACACACACCCCTCTGGGTTTTCTGTTATTTTCTTTCTAGTTCTTGTTCTTGTTTATTTCGTCTTATCTCCATGGGGAAGTGGAACAGAATTCTTCTCCGTAAGCCATGCGTGTTGTAAGAGGCGACTTAATGCCGGGAGCAAGGGGCTAGTAACCCCTTCTTCTGTATAAATTACTAAATTTAAAAAGAGAAACTTTTGTTTTTCTTTTTGGGCCACCCTGCCTTGGTGGGATACGGCCGGTTTGTTGAAAGAAGAAGAAGACTTTTTTGTATCATGGAACAGGTGGGGCATGAACCCATGACCAGTGTGTCAACCACACAGCCCCTGAGTGTTAGGGCTCACTTGCCATGGGTTTAAGCTCTTCTTTGATTTGTTTACAATTGTGTTATTAGTTTCATGAGACTTGTATGTATCTTTACCAAACATTTAAAGCATCTTCAAGGATACACAGACTACAGTAAGGCAACATGAAACTTTGGCAGAAGTCTTCCAAATGCTGAGTTGGTAAATTTAATACTAAAATAGTAATTTTTCATTTACTGAGGAAGAATAATGTGCTAAGTCATGAATAAAAATGTATAGAGTAAGGTGCCAGTGAACATGAACAAGTGCGAAGACTTAGTGTAAAACAGTAAAACAAGGAATAGTGAGATATGAGAACAAAAATAACTGTATAAAAGGACTGTGCAAACAATAATGAAGATGAACAAACTGCTAACTGGTGTTGCACTGTGCAAGCAGCCTAAAGAAACTTAGTTGAAAGAGCAATCAAGACCAACGGATCGTTGCTCTTTCACTTTGCACAGCATTGCTCCAGCAGCTTCATTTATTCCGTAACTTTGTTTTGTGGCACAGGAATTTATGATTCATTTAATTTTTTGACTTGCTGATGAAGTTTCATTAGCTCAGTTTGTTGACATGGTACTAGATTGTCAAAGTAAGAAAAGTTCAACACTTATCATCATATTTGTAAATGCTGAAAGATGGATGTTTGATAGTTGTGGGAATAGGCAAATATATTCTGCATGTCAAATTTTAAATGAGATTATTAACTCTATTTCAGGAGCCAACAATTTGAAGTATTTTATTGGGTATCTCATAATGCTGTGTGCAATGAGCTGTGTTGTGGTGCAAGGCTGTTTCTACTTTTGGAATGGTGCTTGCAACATTTACTTCTCAAAACAGGGAATCTGGTCCAGTAAGTTTGGAATGTATTTAGTTATATTAGTGCAGTATGTAAAATTTTGTATAAATTTAAGCTGAAAAGTAATTAAAATATATATGGTAACTCTTTGGTAAAATGAAAGTAGTAGACTGAGTTATTTAGAATTTAGATCTATCTGCTCATTTGTTTATTTCAAATCAATTAGTGGAATAAAATCTCAAATGCTAATTAGGGGGTAGTCAGATTACAACTAACAGAGTGAAGTACTGTACTATGACAGTGTATAGTAAGGTACATATTCCTGTAATTGTCTCTAGTTATATTAGGAGAATCTTTAGGAAAATTTAATCAGTTTTCTTAAGAGATGGATATTTGTGGCATTCATCAGTGCAGCTAATTAGAGATAGCCTGCATTGGCTGCAAAGAATAGCTAAATACATTTTTCTACCATGCTAGCTTCCATAGAAATTCAAATAGGTTCTTGTTCTTACATTATCTTTAGGTGATATCAGATAAAAAGATAAGCCATATAACCCATCATTCTTTTTGTGACATGAAATATCATAAGTTTTATTATTTTCTTGAATTATTTACTGTTTTTTTAGAGAAAAACTTCAGCAATACCTGCAAAGCAGTGTTTTATTAATTACTATGTAGCATTTTTACTATTGATCAAATAATAATAATAAAATCCATCATGCCCTGTGGTATGCCATGATACAAACTTCAGGCATTGTTATTTGAAAATTGTGTTGAAGATAAAAATTATCATCGACTACACATTGGCATCAACTGATGGTCAGCATGTCGGTATCAACAATAAGTACCCATAGTCTGTATCATGCCCCTTAAGGTGAGGGTACCCATAGAGAGTCTGTATCATGCCCCTTAAGGAGAGGGCCTTAATTCTGGTGAAGAACTGCTGATTCGAGGAAGTTTAGCCGCTTTCTAATTCCTTGAATCAAGCCTGATTGCTTCCCTTTCTTCAGTCTCTGTATGTCCTCAGTGGGTTCACTGCTTCCCTGTGTATATAAGAGTAGTGTATATCATGGTAACTTTAAAAATATATGTTGTATTACAGAGAATTCTTCTGTAGTAGAGCATTGATTATCGGGTAATCTTTTATACATTAATATTATCCAGTATTTTTTTTTTTTTTTGTACAGTCCTCTAAACAGATAATGGGGCAAAGGAATGTGCAAGCTATAGGAACTATTAAAATCTGATGTACCCTTTTCCTTGGTGGTGTCCAAATTTGAGGATTTTTTATTTTTAACCTTTTAACTGTGTCCAATATACTAGTATACAAATGCCTACATTGTGTGCTACATACTAGTATGCACAAGTTTTCGTACCCACAAAACTGCCTCCTGCCAATATTTTTAATCTTATCATAACTCTTTGGGTCTTTTTCCATCTATTAATACATTTGAATAAAGTCTAAGGCTAACAGTGTCCACAAAATGTATCATAGTTAACTACTCAGGTGATGACTGTGTATCCAGTGTACTAGTATGCCTCACTAGCAAAAATATACAGAGAAACCAGCTTCCCTACGAGGAAACAGGGTATGCAGCCCAAATTTATTACAATTTTATTATACTAAGAGAGGGATTCAGCCATAAATCACACTAAGATTTTTTTTTTTTTTTCAAAATCTTATTACACCACCAGGAATTTTTTCTGCTCACTTGCCATAGCTAAGGGGTTAATGAACTGGTTGTATCCCACTGAGGCAGGGTGACCTAAAAAGAAAAACGAAAGTTTTTAAAAAGAAAAACTAAAGTTTTCCTTTTAAAATTTAGTAGTTTATACAGGGGAAGATGGTTACTAGCCCCTTGTTCCTAATTGATGATATATTGCATTAAATTCATCCCATAATAATTGTCTGTCTTTTTCAGGTTTAGGTTCAATAGGCACATGCGAGCCATGGGTAGCCTGGGTTGGTGCTAATGCCACGTTACATGCTCTCTGGGTAGCTACACTCCTTTGTTGTCAGCTTTACCAGGTATTACACTCATCAATGAGAATTTCTTCATATTGTGAAAGTAACAAGTTGTGTAAGGAGTACTGAGGAAAGTTCTGGTTATCTCACACATGAGATCATGATCATACCAGCCAGGTCAAGACTGCAAAATATTCCTAACCAAGTTTGAAAGATTTTTGTTGAAAAGAACACTTGTGTACAGTTCAGGACATTTATTGAAGAAAATGTTTTGCCATAAGTGGCTTCATCAGTGGAAATCAGGACCAGTGAAGCCACTCATGGCCAAACATTGCCTGTAATAAATGTACTGAACTGTACACAAGTGTCCTTGTCCACAGTTGTCAGTATCACTATATCATTTACAACCCTGAAAGATTTTTGTACCATCATGAACTTTTGGTCATGACTGCACATGTATGAGGTACCCAGACTGGTACATAAGACTCCTTGTATGAAAAATAATTTTTTATATAGTTGGCAGATAAGAGTATGGTAAATTGCAAGCATTTAGAATAGATCGAATTATGTAGAAGAAACAGTATATTGATACACTAAATTTTAATGGCATGATCAAGAAAAACTTGACTAATAGTCTGAGTAAGAAGAAGTTAGCTATCTATTTACTATAGTTTAATATTTCATTGTATGCCATTTGGATCCATCTTACATAAATACATAAGTAGGATATTACATAATTCAGTCAGCATTTTTATTAATTATTTTGAATTTAATGAGCTTTGTAAAAATTTTGTGAACTTGCAATAAGTTGTTCATATTGTTAGCACTTAGTAGTATCTGTTAGGAAAGTATTTTTTTTTTATTTAACTCAGTGTCTGTCTCCCACCAAGGCAAAGTGACCCAAAAAAGAAAACACATTTACCATCATTCATTCAGTTGCTGTCTTACCAAGTGTGCTGACGTCACAAACAGATTACCCTCCCACTGCAACATCTCCACTCCTCCTACTGAGTGCAGGCACTACCTTTTCCACCTCCAGGACACAAGTCCTGTTAACCAGTTTCCCTGAATCCCTTTAACCCTTTCAGTGTCAAGACCCCTGATCTCAAACTTGCTCTCAGGGTTGAAGAATTTTCAAAAAAAAAAAAAAAATTATGAAATGATAGAGAATCTTTTTCCAAAGGTAAATGTAACCAGAAGTACAAAATTTGATAGAAAATTTATGGAATTATGCTCTCGCAAAGTTAATGGTCTCGGCGATATTTACGCATCAGCGATTTCACCCACTTTGTGAGGTATTTTTGGACAATTCCATTGTTCCAGCTGACCAAACTCATAGCAATATCATTAGTATTCCTTCTATTTTGTCGATTGAATACAAGAAACTGCCCATTTACCTATTTCATCTGCCCAGTAAAGTGATCAGAAATGGGAAATTTGGCCAATTTTACACAAAATTTCAAAATTGCCAACTTAAAAATTGAGTCCAGAATAAACAATGTAGACATTCCTAGCATTAAAAAACATTTCCTCTATTCCTTAGTCATGTCTCCAGACTCCTCTTATAAATACACTTGCTTTTCATTTTGAATTTTTAGTCATACAAAAAATAAAAATTTTGTTATGCAGGCTATTGCATTATTGTAATAATTGTATAAATAATGTCCTTGCATTCCTAAATGCACATTAGACTGTGATGTCATTTGTGTACTCTGGAATATTGGCAACCCTAGTGGGTTTAGCACTTCTTTTTTTATTATAATAATGGAATATTGGCAAAAATCGAACATTTCCACTACTTTGAGCTCAAGTTCAAGCTACTTTCACTCTTGAGACCAATCAGAATTGTCTTTATTTCTTTAATGTATCTTCCATTCTATCAAATGAGACCAAGAAACCAAGAATACAACCATAAAAACCATACAAAAACACACCGCAAAGTCACTGTTTTAAATCAAAAACATGGTCGCAGTTTTTTTTCTCATGAAATACATGATGCAGGATTTTGGTTTTATAAGGTGCACACTTACCACATAGATCCATTCTCTCATATCTAGACCCAAATTTACTGCTCACAGCTTATCTGAGTGAGCTGAGCTCATGGCGTTATATGAGCTGTTATATGACGGGACCAGCACTCAGAGGGCTAATTTATTTTTTATGTATTTCAGTAAAGAGTAAGTGAAAATACAGTGTATCTGATTTTTTCAGGTGTTAATTCTTGGCATGACCACCAATGAAAGAATGAACTGTTACCGATACAAACATTTTCAGGTATGTATAAGTAGAGCTTTACCGGTAGTAATATTAACATTGTAAATATGTATTATCACTTCATGTCTTCTAACATGTACTGTTTATTATCACTTCATGTCTTCTAATATGTACTGTTTATTATCACTTCATGTCTCCTAACATATACTATTTATTATCACTTCATGTCTTCTAACATGTACTGTTTATTATCACTTCATGTCTTCTAATATGTACTGTTTATTATCACTTCATGTCTTCTAACATGTACTGTTTATTATCACTTCATGTCTTCTAACATGTACTGTTTATTATCACTTCATGTCTTCTAACATGTACTGTTTATTATTCACTTCATGTCTTCTAATATGTACTGTTTATTATCACTTCATGTCTTCTAACATGTACTGTTTATTATCACTTCATGTCTTCTAACATGTACTGTTTATTATCACTTCATGTCTTCTAATATGTACTGTTTATTATCACTTCATGTCTTCTAACATGTACTGTTTATTATCACTTCATGTCTTCTAATATGTACTGTTTATTATCACTTCATGTCTTCTAACATGTACTGTTTATTATCACTTCATGTCTTCTAACATGTACTGTTTATTATCACTTCATGTCTTCTAATATGTACTGTTTATTATCACTTCATGTCTTCTAACATGTACTGTTTATTATCACTTCATGTCTTCTAACATGTACTGTTTATTATCACTTCATGTCTTCTAACATGTACTGTTTATCTTAGTTTTTATGCTGATGTCTTCCCTTATTTTAAGTAGAATAACATTAACATATATTCATTATGTATAGTGTTATGGCTCACAAAGGCAACTGTTGTGGCCATTTGCATGAAAATTTTTAGTGACCATGAGAAAACAGAGTTGTATTTTGTTGTAAATACTAGAGATTACGGAAGGTGTTAAATATTCATAACTGAACCTGATTGGTTGTCACAAAGTAAGAGAAAAATATGTGTGTGTGTGTGGGAATCTGAAAAACATGTACATGCTTTGCTTGGTTGGGTTAGGTAAGGTTTTTCAGAAAACAAGACAAGTGTTTCCTGATATGGGTCTTAGTCATATGATGACCTGCACCTGGAGTGTTTGGTCATCTGATTGAAGCCTTTTGCTGGCTTACTGGTCCACCAGTTTATAAATTATGGTTACAATTCTATCTTTCTTTCAACACACCAGCCGTATCCCACCGAGGCAGGGTGGCCCAAAAGAAAAAACCAAAGTTTCTCCTTTCAAATTTAGTAATATATACAGGAGAAGGGGTTACTAGCCCCTTGCTCCCGGCATTTTAGTCGCCTCTTACAACACGCATGGCTTACGGAGGAAGAATTCTGTTCCACTTCCCCATGGAGATAAGAGGAAATAAACAAGAACAAGAACTAGAAAGAAAATCGAAGAAAACCCAGAGGGGTATGTATATATACGCTTGTACATGTATGTGTAGTGTGACCTGAGTGTAAGTAGAAGTAGCAAGACGTACCTGAAATTTTGCATGTTCATGAGACAGAAAAAAGGACACCAGCAATCCTACCATCATGTAAAACAAGTACAGGCTTTTGTTTTACACTCACTTGGCAGGACGGTAGTACCTCCCTGGGCGGTTGCTGTCTACCAACCTACTACCTAGGATGGTTACAATTATTACAATTATTTTTTACTTTACTTGGGCTGTTGTATGTAATATTTGTGAGAAAGCTGAAGGCTGCAGTACAGTAAATGTTTTCCCTCACTTTATGAGGTTTTGCTCTATGCAAATTTGTTTGAATGGGTGACCATTTCTGTCAGTAATTTGCTGTATGTAGTATAAATTTCCTCTTACGTGATCACCCAAGCTCAGTGCCACTTGTATTTTTTAACAGTATCTCTTTTCATTGCATTTATGGATTTGGAAAAGGCATATGATAGGGTGGTTAGGAGAGCAATGTGGGTGATGTTGCAAATGTATGAACTAGGTGGTAGGTCACTGAGAGCAGTTAACCCCTTCAGGGTCCATGGCCCAAATCTGAAGTGGTACCACGCCCCAGTGTCCAAGAATTTAAAAAAAAAAAAATTGTTATTTTTTCTTATGAAATGATAGAGAATCTTTTTGTGAAGGTAATAAAACAAAAAGTACGAAATTTTATGGAAAATTGACGAAATTATGCTCTCACAAATTTTGATGTGTCAGCGATATTTACGAATTGGCGACTTTGCCGACTTTGACTCCCATTTTAGGCCAATTACATTATTCCAGTCAACCAAATTCTTAGCTATTTCACTAGTATTACTTTATCGATTGAGCACAAGAAATCGCCAAGTCAACTGTTTCAACTACAAATTAAAGTGATCAGAAATTGTTAATTTGGCCAATTTAACACAAAGTTCAAAATATTCCAATTTCAAAATAGGGTCCAGAATAAACAATGTAGGTATTCCTTGAACTAAACTAACATTTCCTCTGTTCATTAGTTACGTTTTGAGGCTTTACAAATAAATTCCATTTTGATTTTTTATTCACATAATGAATTTTTATTCATGCCAAAAAATAGAAGATTTACTGTTATGCAATATTGTAATAATTGTATAAATATCATCACCATATTTGTGAATGCATATTAGACCCACCAGCTGGCGTGTATTAGACGTGTGAGGTCGTTTGTTTACTCTTGAATATCGGCAAAAATTTAACATTTCTGCTACTTTGAGCTCAGTTTCAAGCCATTTCCAGTGCTAAAACCAATCAAAATCATCTCTATTTCTGTAATATGTCTTCCATTCTATCAATTGAGACCAAGAAATCGCAAATACAACTATAAAAAACATAGGAAAAAACACTGCAAAGTCGCTGTTTTAATCGAAAAATCATGATTTCAGTTTTTTCTCTCATTATACACAGTGTGCTGCAGGATCTGTTTTATGTGGTGCACACATACCACATAGATGTATTCTCTCATATCTAGGCCCAAATGTACCACTCACAGTGTATCAGAGTGAGCCGAGCTCATGATGTAGATCTACGGTTTGGACCCTGAACGTAAAGCCGTAGATCTACGGGACGGACCCTGAAAGGGTTAAACCTTTCAGGGTTGAGAGGCCTTCTCCTAAACTTGTTCTCAGGGTTGAAAATTTTTCGGAAAAAAAAAAAAAATTCTTATGAAAAGATAGAGAATCTTTTCCCAACCATAATGACACCAAAAGTATGAAATTTGATGGAAAACTTAGGGAATTATGCTCTCGTGAAGTTAGCGGTCTTGACGATGTTTACGCATTGGTGATTTCGCCCACTTTGAACCCTATTTTCGGCCAATTCCAATGTACTAGTCGACAAAAATCATAGCTATTTCCCTAAAACTCCATTTTGTCTATCGAATGAGTAAATAAAACCTCCCATTTACTGATTTCAACTATCCAATAAGGTGGTCAGAAATTAGCAATTTTGCCAATTTCACACAAATTTCAAAGATGCCAATTTCCAAATAGGGTCCAGAATAAACAAGACAGACATTCCTGGCACTAAAATAACATTTCCTCTGTTGATTAGTCCTGTCCCCAGGCCCCTCTTACATTTCTTTTGCTTTCCACTTTGAATTTTTATTCTCAAAAAAAAAATAGAAGATTTACTGTTATGCAGACTACTGCATAGTGTAGAAATGGTATAAATAATATCAGCGCACTTGTGAAAGAATATTAGACTCGCCAGTTGATGTGTATTGGATACGTTTCATGGTTTGTTTACCTTTGAACTTCAGCAAAAATCGAGCATCTTTGCTACTTTGAGCTCAATTTCAAGGTACTTTTCATTGTGAAACCAATCAAAATCATCTTATGATGAATGGTTTGAAAAACCGACAAGTTGAAGATTGAGACACTTATGCAGCATATGGGAATCTTAATTCAGGAAACGTTTCGCCACACAGTGGCTTCATCAGTCCAATACAAAGAGGAAGGCGTAAGGAGAGGAGGAGAGTGAGGTAATCAGTCCCTCAACCTGGAGTCGATGTGTTCAGTCCATCAATCTTGTAGAATGTACAGCATAGGGCCGTAGACGTGGCTTATATACTGTAGTGAGGTGACGTGAAGCAGATGGAGGCGGGGTCATAGTGGTACCATCCACTAGTCGAAGTAGGTCTTCGTCCAAAGGTTGAACAAGTGTTGAAGAATTCTTTGTAACAAGACCCCATGATGCTGCCGTGTCTGACAGTTGTGATGAATGGTTTGAAAAACCGACAAGTTGAAGATTGAGACACTTATGCAGCATATGGGAATCTTAATTCAGGAAACGTTTCGCCACACAGTGGCTTCATCAGTCCAATACAAAGAGGAAGGCGTAAGGAGAGGAGGAGAGTGAGGTAATCAGTCCCTCAACCTGGAGTCGATGTGTTCAGTCCATCAATCTTGTAGAATGTACAGCATAGGGCCGTAGACGTGGCTTATATACTGTAGTGAGGTGACGTGAAGCAGATGGAGGCGGGGTCATAGTGGTACCATCCACTAGTCGAAGTAGGTCTTCGTCCAAAGGTTGAACAAGTGTCTTGTTACAAAGAATTCTTCAACACTTGTTCAACCTTTGGACAAAGACCTACTTCGACTAGTGGATGGTACCACTATGACCCCGCCTCCATCTGCTTCACGTCACCTCACTACAGTATATAAGCCACGTCTACGGCCCTATGCTGTACATTCTACAAGATTGATGGACTGAACACATCGACTCCAGGTTGAGGGACTGATTACCTCACTCTCCTCCTCTCCTTACGCCTTCCTCTTTGTATTGGACTGATGAAGCCACTGTGTGGCGAAACGTTTCCTGAATTAAGATTCCCATATGCTGCATAAGTGTCTCAATCTTCAACTTGTCGGTTTTTCAAACCATTCATCACAACTGTCAGACACGGCAGCATCATGGGGTCTTGTTACAAAGAATTCTTCAACACTTGTTCAACCTTTGGACGAAGACCTACTTCGACTAGTGGATGGTACACTATGACCCCGCCTCCATCTGCTTCACGTCACCTCACTACAGTATATAAGCCACGTCTACGGCCCTATGCTGTACATTCTACAAGATTGATGGACTGAACACATCGACTCCAGGTTGAGGGACTGATTACCTCACTCTCCTCCTCTCCTTACGCCTTCCTCTTTGTATTGGACTGATGAAGCCACTGTGTGGCGAAACGTTTCCTGAATTAAGATTCCCATATGCTGCATAAGTGTCTCAATCTTCAACTTGTCGGTTTTTCAAACCATTCATCACAACTGTCAGACACGGCAGCATCATGGGGTCTTGTTACAAAGAATTCTTCAACACTTGTTCAACCTTTGGACGAAGACCTACTTCGACTAGTGGATGGTACCACTATGACCCCGCCTCCATCTGCTTCACGTCACCTCACTACAGTATATAAGCCACGTCTACGGCCCTATGCTGTACATTCTACAAGATTGATGGACTGAACACATCGACTCCAGGTTGAGGGACTGATTACCTCACTCTCCTCCTCTCCTTACGCCTTCCTCTTTGTATTGGACTGATGAAGCCACTGTGTGGCGAAACGTTTCCTGAATTAAGATTCCCATATGCTGCATAAGTGTCTCAATCTTCAAAATCATCTTAATTTCTTTAATATGTCTTCCATTTTATAAAATGAGACCAGGAGAACTAGAATACAATCATAAATACCATACGAAAATACGGTGCAAAGTCAGTTTTAAACCAAAAACACAAAGATTTTTTTCTCATTACGCACTGTGTGCTTTAGGATTTTTTTTTATACTGCGCACACTGACCACATAGACCCATTCTTTCATATGTAGGCCTACCAGCTTTCTCTTGCTAGATTTGAAGGTGCTAGAATTTAGGCGTGCTAGTACGTCAATAACCCTGATGCGTAAGCCATACTAGTACGTCGGAAACCCTGAAAGGGTTAAGAGTTTTTACGAGGAAAGTGAGGCTCAGGTTAGAGTATGCAGGAGAGTGGGAGATTATTTCCCAGTAAAATTAAAATTAGGCCTTTATAAAATAATACTGTAAATAACTAAAGTCTCATTATGTTACATTAGTGAAACAATGCAAATTTAATTACTCCATATCCTCAGGTTGGGAAGAAAGGAGAAGTTCGGTCACCCTTTCATCGTGGCATGTGGCAGAATCTTCAAGATCTACTCAACTGGCAGTGCTTTGGACTTCTTAAACCTGATAGAACAGATTGGCTGCATATATATACTCTCTCTGAGTCTGCAGAAGATAAACAGCCTCTTCTTTCACAGTCAGACATGTATCAATATGTTTAAGCTTTTTATTTTATTGTTAACATCGTATGTATATTACTGCCATTTTGCTTTTTATATCCATCCATTCTTTAACTATCAGCTAAATGAATTCAACAATAATAGCCTCATTCATTTTCTGTGGTGAGTGAAGGTCAATGAATGGATTTTCTCTTTCAATTGTCTATTAAGGACTTGAATTTTGTGAATAAAATAGAACAAAAAATCTTGTTAAACTCTTTAGAAAAATCACCTCAGTATTGTGATCTTTTTATCAGCTTATTTATATTACTATTACTTCAAGCTAAGACATGAATTGTTGATGTACATGTTAATGTACATAAGAAAATAATTCCATAGGTAAATGTAATTACTGTTACATTCCTTTTAGTGTAGAATGGTTCTCAATAACTTGCATTTTTTTTTATACTGCTAATTATAGAAAACATTGTGTAGCAAGTTTAGAGGAGTTTTAACTATTACAAAGTAAAAATTACCAAAGACATGAGTCAGATATTGAATACCTGTATTTATCCTAGTTGACTAGTCACAAATAACTTACTTGTAACACTGATGCCTTTACCAGTTTTTTTTAGGTATAAATCAGGCTTGTGAAATGTTGTGAGTAGACCAAAGATGCTCTCCAGTGTGATGATGATGATGTGTATGCAGTTGTGCAGCTGGCATTATCAGCTTATTTGCTCAATTTGCATTTTCCATATTATGTATGTTTATATTCTTAATATTAATCATTGACTAATGTAATCTGTTTAAGATATTTTGGCACAAAACAAGACTCAAGAATTTCGGTTAAATGTGTTTTTATTGAGAGTACAGAAATAGAATAAGTTGTACATTAATAATTATTTATAACTGAAAGTTTAAGGTACAGTGTTTCATAAATAGTCATTAAATTTTAGCATATGAATATTTGCTGATATCCTATCAAGATTCATTCATCTAAAAGTCTAGCACTGTACAGTTTCATACATTTGTAAATCAACAAAAACCCTCATTTTGATAAGGAATGAAAATTAACACTGTATACAGTGTATGTTGACCCCTATTCAGTGATCTTCTTCAGCAGATGGACTAAACAGAATTGTTCAGTTATTCCATTTAACAAGTGAGCTTAACAGAATTATTCAATTTAGTCTGACAGCTGAAGATGATCTTAGAATAAGTATTGAGATATGTACTTTATTTTTCAAATTGTGGGCTTTTCTTTGTGACCATCAATACTCAAATATTTCAGTCCCCCCTGCATCCGTAATTGACATATCTGAAATGTACAGTTAACTTCTAAGATAAGAGAAAACATACTATGGTGTTTTCCACTGGTATTTCAATCATCCTATAAATTGTTTTTGCATATATTTTTTATGGGACACTGGATAGATTTGCATTCATATTGAAAAACTGATGAACAATCACTTGCCATCTTAACATGTGGTCCAACATTCTTTTGTGCATTATGATGTCTGTATATTCCCTTCAGATGAGGGTCCAACATTATTTGAATGCAAAATATGTAAATCGTTTGAAGTTTTGAAATAGTACTAAATATACTGCAGTATTCTGTACAGTTTGAACTAACTTGATTGTCACATTTGTTTGCCTTGAGGTGTGGCCTGGGGTGCCAGATGTGGGTAGCTCATCGGTAATGTGGCGCAACTAATAATGAACTCTGTTTGATGCAATCTTTTTGTAAATATTTTTATTTTTGTGATAAATGTAGGATTATTAGTGTATATAGTATTTATGAGGAAGAAAATTTTAAGTTGAAAATGCACAGTTAAAATACCTCACAGTAACAAGAATATTTGTGTGTGCTAGGACCAAAATGTAATGATTGGCAAGGTTTTATATTAACAAATATTTGAGTAAACATCTTACATGCCCATAATGTAACAACACAGTCCTCATGTAATCATTTTCTTCCTTACAAACTTTATATTAACAAATTTTAAGTAAAAAATAACCAACTAATTTGTTCTCATTTTTCATTAATGTTGAGGCACTAAAAACATCTTTGTATTAAAATTATCATGAAATATGCTACTTTGAAGTTATAGTTAATGGAATACCTTAATGGTATTAGGGTGTTGTCTGATGTTAAATTGCTGAAATTTGTATAGATGAATACATAAAGTATAAATCATGTTTGAAAAGCGGAGGTTCAAAGTTGCTGCATTTGGTAGCTTTGGTTTTTATATCAGAAAAGGAGCAAGTGTTTCCTGGCCCAAACTACAAACATTTGACACAACATTTTATGTATCTAGAATTTTTTTTAGTAGTACTGTTCTGTATTTCCTTTGTCCATATTGAGTTCCATCGTATGATCTGTTTATATTTAATTTGTGTCAAATTTGTTCGTTAGGTAAATCGTCATAAAGTATACTTGTGGGAAAGCTACAAGCAGTTCAATCATTACTGTCAATGTTTTTATATAAACTTAAATAAAAGTTTTATTTTGAAGGATTACATTATGCTGAGGTGTTGCTTTTAGTTTTGTCATCTTTTATAGAGTAAGTATGCTCAGATTTCATACATACAGAAGACACGTTTTTGTGCCTAATTCTGTTTACTATTTTGGCTAAAAGAAATCTGCATTTGTACAAGTAAAATTTTGATGGTTCTACAGAAAGAATGTGAATATAATTTAGTTAAAGAAAAGTTGTTTTGTGTATCTAGAACAAATTTGTTATATGTCAGAAATGTTTTGAGAAGATTTTTGTGACAGTACTGTAATGATTATTAGCAAATATATTGCTAGAAGAATTTTTTTTACAGTTGGCCTATAAGTTTGTTAGTCTGCCAACTGTACCACTGAGAGATTAAGCAAAATTTATCAGTGGGAGATAATTTGTGAAGGAAGATTTTAATTGGGAAAATTAGTTACTGGTTAATGAAGAGATAAAAGATGTAAGTTCTATGTGGGGAAAAGTCACAGAAAAACATAGAGAGAGGATGATATGTCAGAGGTGAATGTTCAGTATAAGAGATTAATAAACTTCACATCCATGGGCAACATTTATGACCATGTTATTAATATACTCAACATTAACAAAATAGTCCAAGAAGTATTTACATGTTTTTTGTTGTTTCATTTACTCAGTCTGTATTTGATTTACACATCCTGCTCTTAAGCTGCAAAACATTGAACATTTCCACATGTAAACTTGATGATTACTACATAGATTATAGCCACCCAAGAAATGATTCTGCAGTAGCACTCCTGATGCTGCTTTCATTCATTGTAAATACTGAAGATGGCACTACTTCCAACATCTGTTTTTTTTTTTTTCGCTAAACATTAAGCAATTCATTTAACATATTAGATTTTATAGCTGCTACAATTTTAATGAAGAACCTCAACATACAGTATAAAAATCTTAAGTCTCTTATGCCATTTCTCATGATACTGAAGTTGGGATCGCCATGGTGAGAAGGGACGGTTTTCCAAAAGCCTTTCCATGACAGTGAACAAATATGCACATTGCTGGAGTATTTTCAGACATTAAGTTAGAGGGAAGGGGAAGAAGCATGTATTATAAAGGATTTCTAATGAATTTTCATATTGTCATACAAAAATGAGAGGAGTCTATATATAAGTTAATATTAAGGTAGATGTTAATTCTTGCACAAATCTTAAAAACCTGTATTCACTAGCAACATTATGTTCCTTTACCAACGTCAGTATGCAGTACTGATTTGATCAAAATTTGTAAATTCCAAGGATTTTTTATGGATATAATGTAAATTTTTATAGCTAAAAATTGGCACTGCTGAAAACTTTTATAGCTAAAAATTGGCACTGCTGAAAACTAAAGACATGAATCAATAAAATATGCTTTTCTAATGTGTTTTATCTTTGACAAGCTTTTCCTTCCCTTTAAAGATTTGGATGTACAGTACAGTGGGACTTGATGAAGTGCAGTACAGTACATACATAATTCTCACCTCCACTTAATGAATTGGAATGCCTTGCTACAGATCACCAAGGAGGGCAACACCCACACAGATGAGTAAATGAATCTATTTGCCAGTATCTGCAACAACTTCAACATGAATAATAATTTCTAAAATGTAGATGAACCTCTTGCAAGATAATCTCTAAAATATATGGGAATCAGTGTGACCTAACTCTCGGCCCATTTGCTCTTTACCTCCTCTCGGGAGGTTCCCTGATGCTGGTGAGGGGCTTTTGCTTCAAAGAATTAGGCCTGATATCTCCATCCATGGATTAAACCTGATTGCCTTTTATTCCCATAGGTGCTGTATGACCCTTATGGGTTTAGCACTCCCTCCCCCATGAATATAATAGTGCTCTTGATCTTGCCACTACTCACTACAAGGTTCATCCATGTCTTAATAAAGTTCTCAGAGTGGTCAATACAGCATTAATGAAGGTTGTATATAACTACTTGTTTCTCTTTACCATCAAATATCTCCAGGGAGGGTCAACCCTTGTGGGTTTAACACTCAGTTATGATTATAATAATCAAGAGAGGGTTCTTGATGTCAGGAATCAGACTTCAACACCCATTCCTTAGATTGACCCTGATTGCCTCTCAATCCCCAATCTAACAAGAGACCTTGCAAGGTACAACAACAACGAGGGACCCTGCAAGGTACAGCAAAAACGAGGGACCTTGCAAGGTACAACAAGACCTTGAAATGCACAACAACAACGAGGGACCTTGCAAGATGCAGCACCAGTGACCTTGCAAGGTGAAGCAAATTTTGGTTGAGGTAAGGTCGATGTCCTCACCAGCATCCGCCTCTCATGGTCAGATGAACACAGGATGACTCCCAGGCTCAATCCTGTCAATGATACACCCTTTCTTAACCTCATCTAATTTTCTGTTTAACAGAGTGGTGGGTCTTGAAAGTATGGGAGAGAGGGCGTGTGAACCGCCACACAGAGAGGGGCGTGTGTGATAGCTTTAGCTGTGGTAAATACTGTTGTAATTACCTTGTGAAACACCATCGGTACCAAGCACTCCCCCCACGAGGGCGTCTGCTCACAATGACGTCACCTTCAACTCCCACACACATTTACCTCACTTACACCCTTTGATCTTGGTGAAAGGCTCTTGATCCAAGGATCTGAAGCTACTCTCCCTTTCTTTGGATCAAAGCTGATTACCTCTCATTTCCCAGGCGCTTTAAACCTCTTACGGGTTTAGCACTTTCGCCACCCCATGGAGTTTCCTTGATGTAAATGAGGGGCTCTTGATACAAGGAATTGAACCTATCTTCCCCTTCCTTGGACCGAACATGACTCCTTCCTGTTCCCTCTGATGCTGTATAACCCCTATTGGTTTAACGCTTCCTATATATATATATATAATATATATATATATATATATAATATATATATATATATATAAGGCTTTGTAAGGCTCATAATTTTACTCCTATCGTGGACTTGAACTTAGAGGATTTTTCAAATCGTATTCAACTCACTGAACCACGATGTAGTAGTTTAGTCAGTTTAATATCTTTATTATGCGCTCCATACCCATCCTGTGGGCGGTAGTCAAAAGATTACAGAGGTTCATAATGGGTCCAGGGACTGGGCCCCGAAGTTTACAATAGATATTCACCTTCTGGGACTTCCTAATTACGAAGTTCACTAACTTTGTCATGTCATTAATGCAGAGAGACTCAGGCGAGACAAGACATAAAAAGTCATTCACCCTCACAGCACATAAGACGCGCCAACCAGCTCTAAACACGTGCATGAGCACACCTAAACAAAAAAGCACATGTATTTAGATAAATGAAACACGCATGTACTGACGCAACAAATGGTTATACGTGTACTGTAATGTGTATTGTAATACAGGTATGTGTGTCTGCGCGTGTGTAGAGGGGTGAGTGAAGAAGGTTGGGGGGGGGGGGGTGAGTCAGAGGTACGTCAGACAACGGGAATAGCCCAACCCTCCACCCAAATATAAAGGCATTACTGCAGCAGCGGCAGTGAGGGAGGTTGTGGTACCTCTCTACCCTGGCGTGTGTCCCTACACCGCCTCCGTCACCACCCACGCCACCGTGATCACCCGCGCCACCGTGATCACCCGCGCCGCCGTGATCACCCGCGCCACTGTGATAACCTCCCGCATGTGATTATCCCCCTGTGCCTCCTGACGAAGGCGTACCGCACCTGGTGCCTAAATACCTGCGCCTGAAGTTACCTGGTACCTAAGGAGCACTTTCCGACGAAGGTAATTGGGAGTGATCTGTCTTCTGGCAGAAGAGGCAAATCCACCACACAGGTAAACACAACTCTTTTCACTCCTCTACTACTGTGACTCACTGTACTACTGTAATTCACTGTACTATTGTTCTTGTACCCACCACTATGTACTCATTCACTTAGACTTTTACACTCAGTCTCGTACACACTTTCACATTCAGACTTCATACATAGTTTTAAGAATAGGCACGATAGGGCCCACGAGGGTATGAGTGAATCTGGCTAGCGCCAAGTTGAGAAGAGAGACCAGGAGCTAAGACTCGACCCCTGCAACCACATACTGAGGAAAACGTTTTAATTCTCCCTCTCTCTCAGCTACAGATGAGCTATCAAGTTCAAATATTATTAACAGTGTTCCAGTCACGTTATGTAAGTCAAACAGGAAAATATAATTTACAAAATAAATGGCGACCACCGGTAATACATGTTGATGAATACGGTTCCTATAATCCCGCGCAGTGTATGTGTATTCCTGGAAGACTAAAGAATGTTCCGGTGATAAATATGGGAGACCAAATAGCAAAGGAGATTAAAATAACCAACCCACATCCCCGACTCACGTCAGTATTGACTCATCTCGTGTTGGCTGCCAGACACCGTTTTCTCTAACTTCGGTGAGTACACTTTGGTAGTGAACGGAGGATCAAGTTAGTTTAGTTTAATATGTTTATTATGCACCCCATACCCATCCAGTGGGCGGTAGTCAAAAGATTACAGAGGTACATAATGGGTCCAGGGACTGGGCCTCAAAGTTTTGATAGCTGAGCAAGTTACAGAGGTAATGAATTCACAATTTACAAAGGTAATGAACTCACAATTTACAAAGGTAATGAACTCCAGGTAGGTCTAGTCACAATCATGACAAGTTACAAAGGTAAATAACAAAAAGGCACAATACCGTGACTGGAACGATACACAAATAACCCGCACATAAAAGAGAGAAGCTTCTCTCTTCTATGTGCGGGTTATTTGTGTAAGTTACAAAGGTATTTACAGATTACAGAGGTACACAATGGGTCCAGGGACCGGGCTCCAAAGTTTTGATGGCTGAACTAGGTACAAGGTGAAGATTGAGACACTTATGCAGCATATGGGAATCTTTATTCAGGAAACGTTTCGCCACACAGTGGCTTCTTCAGTCCAATACAAAGAGGAAGGCGTAAGGAGAGGAGGAGAATGATGTAATCAGTCCCTCAACCTGGAGTCGATGTGTTCAGTCCATCAATCTTGTAGAATGTACATTCTACAAGAATGTACATTCAACTTGTCGGTTTTTCAAACCATTCATCACATAGGTACAAGGTAATGAACTCACAAGCTACAAATCTGTAGGTCATACCGCCGTTTATCAAGTTCGATCAAAGGAAGGGTATAATGCCTCCAGCTCATGGGATCAAGAACCCTACACTAATATCAAGGTTATACCGATTGATTTCAGCGGTATCCAATAGCTAGGTTCTAACAGTAAAATATTAGAAAGAACCTTAGTGTTAATAAGTCAACTGTGTAAGGCAGTTGTAATCATCCAAAACTTGCTTCATTGTACTTACGTACAAATGTACCTTAATAAACTTATTTTACTTTAGTACATTGTTCATTTTGTTAAACAGAAAGTGTCAGCAAGTATTATTAATGCAAATAAGTAAATAAGTATTTTGTTTTGACACTGGTCTATGAGCACACACACATGATAATTATTCAGCTTAGATATTGGGTTTTGAGCTTAGCAAAAGGTTATATAAAGTCTCTTACATTAATTGGGTTGTGCAGCGAAGAATGTTGCATTTTGGGCTTATGGGAAAAAATGTTTTGTTTTGTAACCAAACTTAACCTAACGAACCCACATTAACCTAACCTAACCCAGACTAGGAGTTAAATTCTGGGTTAATTTGAGTTACGTTACGTTTGGCTACCAAAAAAAAAAAATCCATTTTGCAGAAAATATAAATAGCTCTATCTCACAACCTGCTTAATATTCGAGAATTTATATAATAAAATATACCTCTAAACTATAAAAATAGCTATATATAATACATTACGTAGTTTTAAAAGGACAACCCAATAAAACCAACCAGACCGACAACTTTCCTGCTTCTGCCACCTAAGCTGTATATTGCATTCTTTGAATAATAAGCAGGTCTTTATTAAGGTTTCGTACTAGAATTTCAATTTTACAATGGTGCTGTTTAGTAACTTGTCCAAGGTTAAATTACACGTAACTCAATAAAGTAAAACAATGTGACTTATTGCCATTGGGACATTTAATGCTGTTCATTTTTTTACTTATTATTCAAGTCAGTTCTGCACCTGTCTGCAACTTCACAGATATCATAGAAGTATTTCATTATTTCTAACATTATTCATATAAGGCATATGTAATACCTTTTATTGGTGAAGAATCGGAAACAAAGAGAGAAAAAAAAACGAAAAAAAGTTTAGGAAAAAGTACGTAAAAATGGGAACACATTCAAGGAGAAAGTATTTACCCAGGTATTTCAAGACAGTATCACAAAGAGAAAAGGCCATGTCCTTCACTTGCTTGATGTGGAATCGGCCGAGGTTAGCTAATGTTTATCTGTCAGACAAATAGTGGCCATTCCTTCCCACCCACTGTGCTGAGGCAAGTTTTCAGGTGAATTTTGAACGCTAATGCACCGTTTTCATTATCATTATTATTATGACACATTTAGGCCATATAGAGATGGGGACAGGATTGGCGCCGAGGGAGACTTAATAAGCCGCCAAATAAAATAACGCTGCTTCAAGACAAGTCAACCAGATTGCCCTACGCCTCTCATATATAAAACATCTGGACAGTCCCTGTATGGGGACGGGGGTAATAAGGTTTGATTCAAGGACATGGAGGATAGCTCCATTTATCAAGAGCCCTTTGCGAGCATCAAGGAACCCGATTTGGATTTAATCCTCTATCTGCCTTTTCTTCAATATACGCGCAGTTTACATAAAGATTTCTCTTCCTCCTGAAGGCTGCACGAGGTGTCGTCACTCTTAAGTTGCTTCAGTGATACAATGGGTCAGAAAATGTTTTAAATACGCGTGTCGTACTAGGATATTCTGAGTAGCTTCATCAATCCAGTGAGATTTAAAGGTTCTGCAAGGTCTCACGGTGACGTTCATGTCATATTTTTTTATATTTGAATATAAAAGTCTTGCGATCTTCCTTGATTTTCTGTGCCTGTTTATTATTATTAATAAAGATTCGCCGGTATTCTCCCGGCCCGGGCCTTTTCCAAGTGGTGGCCCGGCCTCGGCTCACTCTTTTGGGAGTGTCTGAGACCTAAGTCTCCCATGGGAGAAGGCACAAGTACCTCCTCATCTTTGGGACCAAGTGTCCCCAGGCCTAGCCACAAGCTAGGCCTCTCTGGTCTGCCATCCCCGCCCCAAAGGGGTTAATGGGAATGACAGTCTTGTGAGCTGTAAGCTCTGGCTCAGGCACCTACCCTACCCTAGAGTTAGGCATGGTGTCGATCTTCTTCTGTGTCTGCTTTCTTTCACTGTCTTATTTGTTTGAGTTGTTATATTCAAAGCTTCCCACAGATTTTATTGTAAATATATTCCTTGGTAGTATGGTATTTCCCGAAGTGGATATATATTCGTATGTCATTTAAATATGCTTATTTTTTATTCTACCATAGTACATGTATTGTCTTCCAGTCGATAGATGTCACAGTGCTTTATGAGGCTTCAGTGTTTTTTTTTCTTTGTCACTTAAGTGTTTCTCATGAAATATTCTGTCATACATGAGAAGACACCAAGAAAGTTATTAGAAGCATTCTACGCCCTTGAAAGGAAAGAGTATAAGGGTAGTGTGCCTTGATGTCGGCGAAGGGATCTTGATCTAAGGAATTGAAATTATCTTACCATGACTCGACTATTACCTCCCATTCTCATATTTGTAGGCGCCTCTTCTACCTCCATATATACATGGAATTACCAAGTTCCCTTGATGAGCGGGTAGTTCCAGTTCCTTGGATCAATAGCTTTCAGCAGCTTCAAGGTACTCTGAAGGATAAAGAGAGGTGGGCAGCAGTGAGAGTGTTGAAGTAGTGAGGAACCTTGAGTGGCCGCCCACTACCATGGGAAGGTTCCGCTTGTCTGGTCGCCACCACCACCTTCAGAGTGGTTATATTCACGTCAGTCTTCCTCTGTCCTTCCTCGGGGTGTTGCTCTCCCATACTGCAAGCTTGTGTGCAAGGAGGATAGTACTAGTGGTCCCGAGAGTGCTAGTTTACCCCAGTGTCAGTGAACTTCATAGTGATACAGCAGTTCGTGCAGCGTCGTATGTGAGCTACCAGACCACCTCTTACCTAGCACAAGATAACCTCCAGTAATATACGGTTACTTCTGATACTGTAAGTAATACCAAACTAAAGTTTATCTATAGACAGGTACAATGCTTGCACACTAATACAAGAAACTTAGTGTCATCGTACTCTGATAACGAACATCAAAAAAAAGTAAGTTATCCAAAATAACTTTATCCTGGACATGAGAACATACAGGTCAGGAAGTGCCTTTAAAACAAGTTAGGTTAGGTTAGATAATATTTGTCAGGAAACAGGACAAGTGTTTCCTGACACGAGTCTTAGTCATATAATAACCCGCCACTGGAGCTTTTGATCATTTGACTGAGGCCTTCCGCTGGCTTACCACTTCACCCCTTTAAAAGTCAAGGTTATAATTATAACCATATTGTGTTTAATACTAGTGTTACATAAGTGTCAAAAAAAACTTGTTCTAGGATACCTGTGGAAAATACTGTATATATTTTCCAGAAATTCAGTATTTATATGTATATAGATGGCCATACTGTATTTAATAATATTTGTCATAGAAAACGGAAAGCCTGCGTCTGCGCAGGAGGAGACTCGCCATCTTGGTTTTGAATTTTGTACAAACGTTGGTGTAATGGGAAGAATTTTTCGTGCTCTAGAGGTTAAAATTGTGTTGACACCTCTCAAATAGGAGGCGAAATTGGTGGATGTGCATTCCTGCATA